GTACAAGGATACACAGGCACAGGTCACAAGAGGAAAAGCTCAAGTCATTTGGTCTCTGGAAGCCAATGTAAGAGAAAGAATGAAAACTACAAATGACATTTTAGCATTCTTTCCAAAATAGTTTTAACTTCATAGGCTGTATAAAAGGCGCCAGGGACCCCAGCCACCAGATCAGACTCTGAATATAGCTGTTGCCAGGCTAGGAAATGAATTTACAGGCAGCATCCCTCATCTTAGCTACTCAGAAGGCTGAGATCTGAGGATCACAGTTCCAAGCCAGGTGGGCAGGAGGCCATGAGACTCTTACTTCCCATTGACCACCAAAAATCCCAAAGTGGAGCTGTGGCTCACGTGGTAGAATGCCAGCCTTGAGGGAAAAAGCTCAAGGACAAGGCCTAGTCCCTGGGCTCAGGCTGGGGTACCAGCACAAACAAATGGGAGAAAAAAGGAAATCCTGATGTAGTCCAATACGGAAGACCTAGAGGAGGTAATGCTAAAGAAAATTAGCCAGTCACAAAGGGACAGACACTATAAGATTCCACCTTGTGAGTACAGGTAGCCAAATATCATAGCAATATGGAGTAGAAAGGGGGCTGAGGAAGAGGGAGGGGAATTTGTTCACTGTGTATAGTGACAGTACTGAGGGATGAAAGGCTCCCGAAAGCAGTTGCAAGGTGAGTGTACTTAACACTACTGTGCTTAAACAAAACACTGCTGTGCTTCAAAAACGTGTGCAAGAGGGCTGGGAAGGTGGCTCAGTGGTAGAGACCTTGCCTTCCATGCTTGAGGCCCTGGGTTCGATTCCTCAGCACCACATAAGCAGGGGGGAAAAAGCCAGAAGTGGCACTGTGGCTCCAGTGGTAGAGCACTAGCCTTGAGCTGAAGAGCTGAGGGACAGCGCCCAGGCCCAGAGTTCAGGCCCCACGGCCGGACCCCCCCCCCCCCCAAACAACAACAACAACAATAAAACGTGTGCCAGATACATGGCAGGTGTATAGCTCAGTGAGAAGCAGGTCAAGTGGAAAACTGAGATGGTGAATCTGATGTTATCTGATTTGAACCACAGTCTAAAGGAAGGGTCAGGGCGAGCTTCCCCGGCTGAGGTGTTGGACATCAGCCGGTTAGGAGCAGTTATGCCAGGGGCGGGGGGACCTCCGTGCCCTGCATCCCTGCCCTCCTGCCCTCCCCGGCGTCCATGCCCGCTGAACCCCCTGCGCGCTCCTCCCCGCTCCCCATCCCCCAGGACTTTCCCGACCAGCCTCGCCCGGGCTCTAGCTTTGCACCCCAAAACCTCTCTGGAAGCCAGTGCTGCCCAGGTGACCGCCCCCACGGACCCCCACCCGCCTCCAACTGCACGGCCCCCTGGCCTCCAGGCCCCCCCAACCCCGAGGTGGGCGGGCGTCCGACCCAGGATGGAGGCCGGCTGGAGCACAGCCGACCTGCGGGAGGCAGGAGCCCCTCTCCCCCACCAGGAACTTGAGCACAAAGAGGAAACCCCAGGAGGCCCCTCCCCTGCCGCCCCACCCCGGCCACCGGCCAGGCCGCAGTTCCAAGGCCGAACCTCAGGTCGCCTCGCCACCACGAGAGCGCATTTCCACCCGCGTCCTGCCCACAAGGCCGGACGCGAGAGCCTCACCTGCGCCCCGAAGGGGAGGGCGGGGACCCCCTTTCCAGACAGGACGGACCAGTTTGCTGGGACCGGTGAGCCTGCAAGAGGAGGGTGAGCCAGGGCGCGTCCTGCGGCCCCGGGCTCGGGGGCTGGACGGGGGCGGCCGGGCTCGGGGGCTGGACGGGGGCGGCCGGGCTCGGGTCTGGACGGGGGCAGCCGGGCTCGGGGGCTGGACGGGGGCGGCCCCAGACTCGGGGGGCTGGACGGGGGCGGCCGGGCTCCAGGGCAAGACGGGGGCGGCGGAGTCTGGGCCCCGCCGGGCTCGGGGGTGCGCTGGGGACGGCGGAGTCTGGGCCCCGCCGGGCTCCGGGATCGGCCGGGGTCCGGGACTCGCGCCGGGAGCCGGGCTGCCCGGGACCCCAGACGCCCCGTTCAGCCCCGGACCCCGGCATCCGGCCGACCCTCTGCCGTCGGGGGGCGGTGCAGTGTTAGCCCAGTCCGGACCGGAGGGGCCCCGCTCCCCGGACGTCTGCGACCTCCCGCACTGACCTGCGGCGGCCCGGGATGCGGCGGTCGGGCTCGGGCGCGGGAGCCGGGGCACCACGTGCGGAGGCCGGGGAGCCGGAGACGCCCGGCGCCCGAATCCGCGCGCCTTTATCCTCTCCGCGCCCCGGCCCGCCTGGCCGCGCACCAATCCGCGAGCTCGCCAGGCGGCCCGGCCCGCACCGCGCCCGCTCGCCCGGGGGCGGGGTGGGGGGGGCGGGGTGGGGGGGGAGGGGGGGCCGGGCGCGGGGGCAGCGCGGGGTTCCGGCGCGCGTCCTCTCCCCGGAGCCCCGCCGGACGAGTCAGCACTCAATCTCGGCTCGCAGCCGGCACACCGACCCGGGTGCGAGGAAGGCGGGGATCCCGTGGGGCGCGGCGGGGCGCGCCCGCCACCCCTGCCCGTGCTCCCTGCGGAGACCGCAGGGCGCGGGGACCCCGCGGGAACGCGCCGGGCTTCCCCGAGGTGGGGGCGGCGCCAGAGGTCCGTTAAGCCCCGGGCGCCGGACGAGGGTGGGTCCCCGGAGGACCAACGCGGGGCGCAGGGCGGCCCCGGCCTTGCCCTCTCCCCCAGGCAGTCTGGGGTCCGACCCTCCTTCCTCCTTCCTGAGGCCCGTCCGGCCCCCAAAGGCCGTGGCTCCCCACCCGCTTAGGCCTCTCCAACCCGCGAGTCTGTAGCTGGAGGCTTCCTGTCTCCAGGGTGGTTTGGCTCTCAGATTCGTGCAAATTGATGTAAAAGGACGGAAGGGGAGAGAAGGAAGGGAAGGGACATTTCTGTTAATAAATGCAAGGGAAACCACCAAGGGGACCTTGAATTGTGGTGCCTACAGGCAGGAGAGCTGATGGAGGCTGTTTGCCTGATCTTGAAGCGCCATGTCCCATGGACGTTACAGGCCATCACCTTAGCCAGGTGCCCGGGTTTGCCTGTGACCTCATTTCGCATATGATGGCTGACCTTGGTGCTTGCCCCACACTACCCCAATCTGGAGGGAACATCCCAAACCGCACAGACCTGTTCTGCAAGGTAACTGACCGGTACTCGGAGATCATGGACAGGGCGCGAGGGAGGCACTGACACAGCTTGCTTAAACAAGAGGAGACAATGATTAGTGGGACAACTGGTGAGACGTGAGTAAAACTTGTACTTCAGATCAGATTGCTGCAATGTTCCTCTCTTTACCCTCGTTTTGCGAGCAAGACATTGATGCCAGGGAATCTGGGGAAGGATGTGAACACTGGCTGAGATGAAGGCATTATGGTGGGAAGTCTAAGGAAAAAAGGCAAAGCAATTGAACATACACAGGAATTAAAGTGAGATGATACTGCTTTAGGCCAACTGGTGCTAGACAAAAAGTATCTTCATTCTACGGTCAATATTAAGTCTTGAATTTGAGTCGTTAACAGTACTTTGACTTAGTTCTTCATCATTGTATTGGGTGTTACAGGTTTTGTTTCTTGTAAATTTTTTTTGGTCAGTTGTGGGGCTTGAATCAGGACCTGGGCGCTGTCCCTGAGCTCTTTGGCTCAAGCCTAGCACTCTACCACTTTGAGCCACAACACCGCATATGGTTTTCTGGTGGTTAAAATTAGAGGTAAGAATCCCATGGACTTTCCTGCCCAGGCTGGCTTCAAACCACTATCCTCAGAACTCAGCCTCCCAAGTAGCTAGAATTACAGACATGAGCCACCAGCGCCCAGCTGTTTCTTGTAAACTTTACAGTAAGTCAGTACCTACAAAGTTTATTTTTACTGGGATTGTGTTGAATCCATTGGCAAGAACTGACTTTTTTTTTGGGGGGGGGGGGTTCCGGTCGTGGGCCTGAACTCTGGGCCTGGGCACTGTCCCTCAGCTCTTCAGCTCAAGGCTAGCCCTCTACCACTTGAGCCACAGTGCCACTTCTGGCTTTTTTCTTTTTGCTTATGTGGTGCTGAGGAATCGAACCCAGGGCCTCAGGCATGCAAGGCAAGTGCTCTACCACTGAGCCACCTTCCCAGCCCCAAGAACTGACATTTTCTGATACTGTCTTCCCATCTTCCATAAATATGAAGCATTTCTTCATCTGTCTAGTTTTTGTTCTTTTCCCTAGTTTTGTAGTTTTTTTCATAAAGATTATATTTCTATGTTGGTATTTATATCAAAACGTTCCATTTGTGGAACATGCAAATGCAAATGCCATTGTTTGTGCCCTCCACCCAACACTGATGCTGTGTTCTCAACAGATCATTATCAAGAGCACATGATTTACTCCTAGTGATGTTAAACTTCTGCTTGGATAAGGTGATATGTACTGGGTTCCTTTGCTGTAAGATTACTATTTTCCCCTTTGTATTAAGTAAATACTTCGTGGGAAGATAGTTCAAGACAAGTACTCTGTACCTGCACAAACTTTCATGTGCTAGTTTTGCCATTCACTGGTGATACTGCCTAAACCAGTTATTACATGATTCACTGAATAACCTAATTTCATCATCCTTTCCAAGTTTAGTAATTGACATCTTGCTCTAAAGTTTTCCTTTTCTCTCACTGATTTGTAATTAATATGCACATTTATCAATAGTATGTACAATACATACTCCCGAGTCTTAGGAAATACCTTTTAAGTATTTAAGAGGAAAGGGTCACGAGGAGTAGTTTGCCTGCCCATATTTCAGCAAAATAACACATACGCACATGTACGATGTTGAAGAAAATGTGGGAAATGTTTTCAACCATCCAATTTAGGTATGTGGGAGATTACTGTATTACTTTGCAATCTTTTTTCAAGTCTCAACTTTTTAAGTAAGAGTTTAATTGCAACACTATTTAACCTCACAAACATGTTAAAATTATAATTAGCCTACAGATTTATCAGTGTTCAAATATTTTATTACCACTGTCTATAGCGATTAACACTAGTATCTCTGAAACAAGACACAGGAGACCACCACACACAAATATTACACACTGAGAACAGTATCACATTTGACCCATCTCAATTCAGTAAACCAGGCTTGACAAACCAGTCAACTCAAGAAGTCTAATTCCAATTAGAGGACACACTTACTACTTTGTGAATGTTACAAATAATACTCAAATATATACAGACAAAGTTCAGAAAATTTCCCTAAGACCACCTGTGTGTACACACACACACACACACACACACACACACACACACACACACACGGACAGGTTTACAATATAAAAACCTGTACTTTACAGCACTCTTGAGGTTTCAGCAAAGCATATGTTATAGACACATTTGCCATACAATTTTACTAAGGTAAGAATAATCCACTTATATCCAAGAGTCACATTCAAATATATCAAGAATACAATCGATACCTGGCTACTGAAGAATGCATATTCTTTTTCTTATAAACTAAGTTGCATAAGTGCAGTATTTTTAGTGTAGATAGTAAATAGATCTGTAAGGATCTGAAACAATGGGATTTAGAAAAGATCTCTGTGGGTAATTCACCTCTGCAGAGGTGTGTTCATTTGAAAAGTCAATGCCTGCCTGACAGATGCAGGCAGGGTTGTACAACTGGTCTTCTTACGAATCATAGTTAAATCTTTAAACTTGTGGACTGGTTCTAAACCGTCAGGATGGTTAGTGTCTGCAGCAAGCTCCATGACCTTTTACTGCATAGCACAAACTGCTGCTCTGAAGTGTTGTTCAGAGACAGGACAAGAGCTTGCTTGCTTTTTTTTGGTCTTAGCAAGACATTACGTTTCTTGAACAGGAACTTAGTTAACTAATTCAGAACTCTTAAAGCCTTCTCCTGGATTTTCAGAGCACCTATTCTGGGACTAGGTTTAAAGCAAGAAGATGCTGTAGACCATGGAGTATAAAGGTTCAGTGGAAGGTAGAAGGTGATTTATTCAAGTAAACAAAATTTAGCAGATTCTAGGAAAGAAATACAGCATTTCATATCATCTAAGAATAAAGAAGTCAGTCTTTCAATGCATTTTGTTAAGATGGTAAATGTTTTAAGAAGCATAAAAATACTAGCTGGTAATAACTTAAAATTGCAGCCCTGGAGGAGAATGTTTTCTTCATAGGAAAGAATAAGCAGGGACTATGCTGTCTTGAGGTATGCATGAACCCATACTGGACATCCTGAAAAACTAAACTCCTCAGTGAAGTTCCAAGCTTCCAGAACAGTGCCCATCCTCCACCCAGGAATGCTGTTCTAATGCAGAATTGAAGAAGTATCCTCCTGTAGCTGTCATCCGCTAAACCTAGAGAAGGCAAACTCAGCTTTGACTCAGACTCAAGTCCGACAGTCAGTGGGCTCAAGGACCTATGAGGACCCACAAGGACAGCAGCTGTCCCTGATGCCAGGTAGCTACAGAGGATTGTCTCGCCGCAGATTCTTCAAATGCTGCAAGATGTCACTCCCACTTTTCACTTTAAGAGACTAAGCAACTGGCCAGATCTTTTTACTTCATAGAAATCAAATCCCGACTGACCCAAGTCTAACCCTCACTAAGCTTCATCTTTTTTAAACGAAAAGCAGTGAGTCTTCAATCCTCTCTCTGGGATCTTTCAATGAATGTCAACCATTGTTTTTTCAAGTTTGTTCAAAACACTCTAAAATCTTGTTTTGACAGCCTAATTCTTCCTAGAAATAAAATAAATTTATGTTGTTTTAAATCTATTGGATTTCATTATTCTTTTCATTCCATTTAATAAAGTTTTGACCAAATATTTACTGAAAAGGTTTGCCACCAAGTTATAGGGTTCTTAGATAAGCAACTGTGTTCCTCTGATTAAAACAAAAAAACAAATCCAAAAATGTATTAATTTAAATCTAAAAGTCCTGTATTGTTGACAAAAAGAAAATTATTTTAAATTGGTCCTTGTGGGGACAACTCTATGGACCATCCTTCATATAAAAGCCATCATCCTCTACTCCAAATTCAGGGGTGGCGACAAACACACACGGAGTTGATCTTTATCCCAGGCTCCCAGGCTGTCTTCATTAAATGTTATCAGAGATAATCATCAAAGGCAACTTCACCAAATAAAATACTTAACAAGTATCTTTCCATGAATGTATTTTATTTTTCTCAAATGATGAAAGGTGACTGAAGCCCTCTTTAAATGGCATTGATAATGTACTTATTTTGGATAGAGTCCTTAAGATTGAGGATCCTAATACTTACATTATTAAATGACCTTTTAAAATGTGCAGATATCAAAGTTTGTTTTCATAGCTTCCAAACACACCTGAAATTTAGATAATCCCTTAAACTAACTCTAAAATGTAAAAATGTCAAAACAGTGATGACAGCTGTCTCAACAATAAAGAAAACCTGGAATACTATGGAGCTCTTGTCTCTGGCTCACATACCCAATGTTCATTAGGAAGAGGTATAGAAGTACCTGATGGGATCTGACTTCTCCATGATGAAGTCTAATGAAACCTCCCTGCAAAGTCTCCATCCACAGAAGCATAGAGTTGATGATATAAGCAGTACGGGCTCACTTTTAAAGAATCGCCTAGGAAAAAAACCTCAACATAGTTTTATTTGGTGAGAAGCAAAGGGCTCCTTTATATGTAGCCTTCAGTCAAAGGTGGGAGAAGATTAAAAAAAGGTCAGGCACACCAGCTGACAAGGCAATTCTTAGGAGCCATTTCTAAAAAGGAAGGCTAGTTCTTTTTTTTCCAAACCAAGATGGACATTTCACCCAACACAGAGATATCAACAGCAAAATATAACATCTCTTATACTCTCCTTTACTTAAGCTTTTTGGTGAGAATCTAACTTTAGCCAAGAAACTAAATCAAGAATAAAACCAAGCTTAGTGAAGAGAGGCAAATTAACCAGAACAATCTGTATGGATGGTTGCTGCCTTTCCTGTGTTTCCTAGAAGGAAAGAGAAAAAAATGGCAAGTGGGCAAAGAAGATGGAGAGCACTTCCCAAAGCTTCTGACTAGGACCCCAGGTTATGCTAGAATGGAGTTTTAATACATTTTTACCTCTATAAGTTACATTTTAACCTCTAAAGTAGGGTCCAATCTGTTGTTATAAACTGAGATGGTTATACACAGAGTGGAACTTGTATTAAAGATTATTCAACTGTCCTTTTAAAAGAGAACTACCAGAACAGATAGTGTTGGTTAAAATGAGCAGTGCCACAAGAGAAAAGCATACTTGGAAAATACTGAACCACAAACATGGAGAGCATAGGCATAAACGAGCAGATCACAAATGTAGCCATTGCCCTTTAACACAGAGACAGCTAAAACATTTCTCAAGTTCAGAACCTAAAGTGGCATCATATTCACAAACTTCCCCTTGAGATAGATTATGTTTGCCTAATACATACAGGACAAAGCGGCACAGTTGATATAAATATTCAAATGGCTCAAGCAAACAAGGTTAAACTTAGTATTAGTAGGCTCTTAGAATACTTAATAAAACAAGACACACAACGCCATATATAATATAAACCAGTGCAATAAGAACTTTAGACAAGGGCAGTGCATCTCTGGTTTAAGAAAACCATATTTACAGTTTAATTATAACAAACTAACACTATTTGAAGTCAAAACCTGAAAAACCAATTCCTATTTTAATTCTATATTGCACATACTTTTAGTGTCTATTCGTAACATACATTTCACTGTTTTAAATGTAAATGTCAGGAGGACATATATGTTATCCTATAGGAAGAATTTCCCGTGAATAACTATTCTAATTTTCCTTTCTTGACAAGACAGAACAAGAATGAATTCAGCTTTGTCAGTCCAAAACTGTTTGAAAGAGAACAGTTGTTTTATATGGCAAATAGAAGTAGCATGTTAAAGACAAAATTCTTGGTTTATCAATCATTTTAGTTTTGAAAAACACTTCTCTACTCAGTGCCTGAAAGCCTGACCCATCACCAAATATTCCCTAAATAGATGATCTGTGCCTGGGCCTACTTGAGTACCGAATACTCAGGGGACACAGGAGAGTGTTAAGTGGCCACCAACATCACTCCCAAGGAAAGGACCAGCACCTCCTTCCTTCTCCTAAAGCAAAAGGTCTAACAGGCCACAGAAACCAGATTTGATTGCAGTGACCCTCATTCCATGGCATTAGAGGATCCCATTTCCAAAGCCGGTCAAGGTTAGTGTGTACAAGTAAATGGAAGGGCAAACAGAAAGAGAGGTAAGCTCAGGCTGGAGAGGGTCCTTATGGTGCATGGGAACATCCTTCAAGGACTCTCACAAAGTCCATCTTCAGTTTCTAGTTCGGCCAACTGCCTCCTCAGGAGATTGACTTTTGCTTGTAATTCCTTATTATAGTCAATGATGTTAACCATTTCTTCATATGCTTCATCCAGATACTTAGAGGATCTGTTCCAACGGAGGAAAAGTCCTATGGAATCCATGAGTGAAAAACAGAAGGGAGAAAGATACATTCAATGTATCAACATATTATACATTTTCCCCTTTTCAAAACTCATACTGATTTTTTTGTATGTGATTGTGGGGGAAAGAATTTAGGGTCTCACACATGCTCCATAAGAACTCTATTACTGAGCTTTATACCTTTAATTTTTTTTTATTTTGAGGCAGGGTCTTATTATGTTGCCCAAGCTTACCCCAAAGACATGATCCTCCTGCCTCAGCATCCCAAGTACCTTGGATTACAGGCATGAACCACCACACCCAGCTCACATTTTATTTTATTATACTCTAAAAGATTCAGGGATTTGGAAGGACTGAAAGAAACCAATTAAATACAGGATCCAAGAACTTTATGTACATGCTTATTAATTACCACATATAAAAAAGTACTGTTTTGTGATATACTCAGGAAACAAAGCTGGTAATTCACAGTGTTATAAACTTTCCAGTTTCCCAACAGTGATCATTTGTTTTTACAATTGCATAACTATGCTTATAGGACCCCAGGTCTTACACATCTGAGAAAGTGAGTGGCGGTAAAAGCAGAAGCCACACAGGAGTGTGTGCATGTGCTTCCCCCCCCACCCCCCATTGTTTTTAAGGCAGTGTTCTAGTTCTGCAGACAACTGAAGCTTTCAATTAGTATTTCCCTTCTGTTATGGTCTCATGGGATCCATGGGATGCCCCATGGATAAGAAAATGCTCAGGTACTCAAGTCCCTTATACAAATCACACATCTACACACACCCCTCCTAAATTTTACATAATCTCCACATTACTTATCATTCCAAATACAATGTAAATGTTATAAAAATAGTTGCTATGCTATATTGAGAATGACAATGTATTCTTAATTTTTTTGACCCACAGTTGGTTGAATCTATGTATGTGGAACCTACAGATAGTGAATCAATAGTATAAAGATCAAGCGGCCCGTCCTGTTTCTTCTATTACATGCTTATTCTATTCTTTTTCTTCAATATAGAAACCACTTTTGATACCTAGTGATAACGTAAATATAAATAATAGCCTTATACTATATTATGCACGCACACATACACATACACACACACACACACCCCAATCATAGGGTTTAACCTTCTATAGAATTTCCTGGCCTTAGACTGAGCAAGTAAAAAATATAACCTATTCTATAATCCTATTCTTCATGAAGCAATAGGAATTTTCCATAAAGTAAGATTTCCTTCTTTCACTTAATCTCTAATTCCCAGTGAGGTCTGATAAAAAAATTAGTTAAATAAAAAAATAGTTAAATCATACAACAGACCAACCAACTAACATTTCTCCTGAATGGCCTCTACTTTTCAGTGATTAAATATGGCAGTGGGTTTTAGGTAGACTGTCCCAGAGATTTAAATAGGAGTAAATCTGCTCAGTCATTTAAGAGATTACTTACTATGACCTATAACAATCAACAGTAACTTAGAAAGTTCCTCACAAAGAACTTCTCTTTGTGAAATCCTCCACGAAGTAGATACATGAAAACTCATACAAGAGAACCTACAGAGTTTGGGAGAAGGGGCCGGGGGTGGGGGGGTGGAGCTCAACAGACAGGCGTAGAACCAGAAAATGAGAGGGAAAAGCAATCAACAGCCCATGCCAGGAAGAGCAAGACATCATGGCACATTCAGAGGAGAGGCAGAGACAGACTTAGAAGGCAAAACATGTTTCCTACAAAGAATAAATTGCAATTTCCACACATGGATTGCCCTTGACGGTAAAACATAGAATGCCAAACATTTATAGTAATTTAATTTACCAAACAGCTACTATTCCTAAATCATAAAGACATATGTACTGTCCTTAAAAAGATTACAAAGAATAGTATTTTACAGCGTTTGTCTAATGAACGCTTAATATATTTTAAATAGATTTGGGCAATTTATTTTATTTTTTTGTCGGTCATGGGGCCTGAACTCTGGGCCTGGGCGCTGTCCCTCAGCTCTTCAGCTTAAGGCTAGTGCTCTACTACTTGAGCCATAGCACTACTGCCAGCCTTTTCTGCTTATGTGGTGCTGAGGAATTGAACCCAGGGCCTCATGCATGCAAGGCAAGCACTCTACCACTGAGTCACCTTCCCAGCCCTGGGTAATTTTTTTAAAACAAGCTTTGCTATTTAAGACAGTAAGCTTCAGTAGTCTGGAAACCCTACTTTCAAACATGGAAAACTCAGCATGATCGCTGTTCCCAATGAGTGTCTAAAGCTTTATTCTGATGGTACTGTTTCCATTTAAAGAATCTGACTGGAATGAATGGTCCTCAGATCATATGATGGCATTTAACACAAGAACCTAACTTTATGGCCACTTAATAAAGGAAACAGGTGTTTCAAATTATTCATGTCCCAACTACTTACTTAACTCTCTTATGCTACATTTCGCTAAAGAGAACAGAAAAGAAAATCAACCAGAAGTGTCTAATCACTCCACGGGTGACTGAAAACAGAGTATGACCAGAGAAAGGAAATGGAAGAAGGATCACATCCCCATGGAGAAAACAGTAGCAGCCAGCTCACCATTTTCACATGTCAACAATGGCACATGCACCTGTGCAGCAGACAGAGCACACCTGAGAGGGAGTAAGAGTGAGTTACCTTCCCACAGCTGGAGACTTTGTGGGGCAACCGAAGGCCAGATGACAAGGTTGTTGGCTTCAAAGAGAGGATTGGTGAACTTACTCAACTCACAGGGCCGATTGACCCAGGACCACAGAGACATTGTTTTCTGTTGTAGCTTCAATTTACATCTGCTCAAGAAAGAAAATAAAGCAGTTAATTTATAGTAACCACTGTCAAATGTACCTCTCAGCAGAATAGGTTCTTTATTCTGTTCAACAGAAAACAAGACTCTTAAAAGAGAAAAAATATGCTGTAAAATAAAAATATTTGCCAGAAAATTCAAGCAGCACTGTAACTCTCAACAAGCTAGTAAAGACAAAACTAGAATCTGGGCTTATCAGGTTTGGTTTAATTGGAGATAAAAAGTCTCTCAGATTTGTCTCCCCAAGCTGGCCCCAAACTTCAATTCTCATACCTCAGCCTCCTGAATAGCTAGGATTATAGGTATGACCCACTGGTGCCTAGCCTTGGCTTTCAAACTAGTCAAGATTAAACAAATCTAGACACTTGTGAAAAAGTTGCTTAAGTTTACTATTCAGTTCGATGATGGAGATACCTACCAATGAGGCAAATCTTGCCTCTACCCAGAGGACACCCTGGTGATTGTACCCTAAAGAAAGATGGCTGGTTAAGCATCTTGAAACATCATTCTGATGTAAGAATCTTCTAATCTATACACCTGACAGCCTCTGGGCTGTGAAGTAAGACTGTCACTCAGGACCTGATGACAATTTCCAAGTATAACAATCAGGTCTTTCAGTAGGAGCAGGAAGACCTGTCTCTAGGCCACCCTTTTGGTGGTCAACTGGCTGTGGGTCCTGGCATAAGTCACTTAACTTATCTGGTTCTGATTATCTTAATCAATAAAAAGAGAAGGAGGCCAAGTGCTGATGGCTCACATCTATAATCCTAGCTACTCAGGAGGCTGACATCTGAGGCGAGTACCAGCCTTGTGCAAAAAATTATGAGGGACAGCACCCAGGCCCTGAGTTTAAGTCCCAGACCAGAAACAAACAAACAAACAAACAAACCAAAAACGAGGTGGGGGGAATGGGAGTAGAGTTGGATTATGTTAGACTTCTCCCAAAGGTAAGACATTTCTACATTCAAAATGACTGCTCAATTTACTCAAAGCTTTTAACCAGTAAACGAACTATTTTAGAATTGACCTAACAGATTAATTTCAATAGATTTAATCTAATAGATTAAAATTAGTCTAAAATATCCCTCATTTACATGTGATTATTATGTAATATAATTACATACTAAGTCTAAACTTACAGTAAGTCTAAATGAATGTTATGTAACACTTAACTGTAGCCTCTATCTTTTTTCTGTTGTTGTTGTTGGTCGGGAGGCTTGAACTCTCGACCTGGGCACTGTCCCTGAGCTCATCAGGTCAAGGCGAGCACTCTACCACTTGAGCCACAGCACCACTTCCTGTTTTCTGGTGGCTGATTGGAGATAAGAGTCTCACGGACTTTCCTGCCTGGGATGGCTTTGAACATTCAGATCTTAGCCTCCTGAGTAGCTAGGATTACAGGCATGAGCCATGGGCGCCTGGCTGTAGCATCTACCTTTTATATATAACATTCATATAGCCCTAAGTTCTCATTTTTCTTAGGAAGTGACTAAAACAACTAAAAGTGAAATTGACCCCATGTGAGCAGTGCACCCACCTTTCACTTTCACTGTTGCCCAGAAATGTTCCAAATTGTGAGGCATAGGCATGTTCAAAGAGCATGATGAGGAAGTGCTCATTAAATTCAAAGGAACATGGGAACTGACGGAGTATCTGCCACACACAGTCCAAGAAGAGAAGAAACACAGGTGCCTCCCACTTCTGCTTACTGTTGCAATAGGCAGACTGTGCACAACGCTGAAGGAATGGGTGACCAGCCTGGGGCAAGAGAAATGGGGTAAGCCCACATTACAGCACCATTTCACACAGTTAGGGTGACTCTAAATCTTCTTAGGTCTGTAAAATTTGGAACCAAGTCAAAGAATATAAATTCTTGAGTACAAAACCAAGGACAAGCACAAGGATCACATTTGTCCACCTGAAATACTGTCAGTTACACTGAAAGCTATGTAGGCCTCAACAATAAATGGAGACAGATGTGGAACTCTAAAAAAGTTTACAGTCAGCTTAAACACTGAATTTTTAGCTATATTTGGGAAAAGTTATTGTCTAGAAGATCTCTTAATGAATACTGTAGTTGTACAGAGATAAAGCTGTCCTTACCCTCTTCTCTGAAAAAGAACTGTAAGAGTCTATCATCTATTGCTCTTACTAAGACTCATTAGCCTGCCTGCTTAGAACCCAAGTATTGACCTCACCTGAAATCACATTGCTCTAGACATCTCACAGTCCTGCTGTCTTTCCTGCCTTATACTTATCTGACAATGAAAATTCCAGTGACTGATGGGACCTGGATACCCATTAAAATGGCAAATACAAATTAAGTAAAGCACATGCACTTGCTTTTTTACTACACACCATGGATATGTATCGAAACAGACGTCCACCAAACATGGAAAGTAAATTCAGGACCATCTGCCTTAAACAGATAAAAGTTGGCTATGAGGCAGGATGAGACAGGGCCTTCGTACCAGCATCAATGCATAATACATATGCACTGCAACTCGAAGGATTAGAATCCTTGTACATCAGAGACACATCCATATATATATGCATATATATATATATGCATCTACTTTCAATCTCAATTATTAAATTCATACAGCATAATTACAAGACCTTTATCCTAGAGGTCATCAAGCACTGTATTACACCACTGTGCTGTGTTCTAGGGAGAAACATTAGTAGACAGCATGGCTTTCTGACCTTAAAGAAATCATTTTTGGGGCATCTAGCTCAGGAATTAGGGCATCTGTGGAGGAGCTTAAAGTCTCAAAACTTTGTGACAGCAAGGTCATTTAGCTGGATCTTACAGGACTCAGATTTTAGCTGGCTAGAGAAGAGGGCAGGAGGGAACAAGATGGGCAAAATGCAAAAGGTGCTAAAGTACAAGCCATGCACTCCCTTTCCCTACTGTTTTGTTATCTCTACCAGGACTCAGCTTCTGAGCTATCAGCCTGTTTTTTACATTTTTTTTTGTATTTTCCCTGTACATAACAAAATTCAGGTTGAGTATCAAATGTCTAACACGTGTGAGCCCACCTTAAGTGCTCTAGATTTCATATTTTGGATATTCGCACATACATAATGAATTATCTTAGGATGGACCATGAGACTAAACACAGAACTCATGTATATGTAACAGATACCTATATACATAGTCTAAAAGTGATGTTATGCAGTATTTTTACTGCACCTGCATTTTAACTGCATTGTGCCACATGAGGTAAGACACTGACACTCAAAGCTGCAGATTTTAGAACATTTTGGATATTCAGAAAAGGGATGATAACGGCTCACAAGTCTGTTGCTGCTGCTGTTGTCAAAGTGAATGAATGTGGCAACATGAGCAAGAATATAGGCAAAGAAAGACCTAGAAGAGAGGTTACAGATTACAAGCACCTACAGACAGAAGGGAAAACAGGTTAGCTGGCCTACAAAAAATTAAACACACAATTTCAAAATTTCACTTATGCTGTCAGCTACCACAAACAAGGATTGCAACATCAATGATTAGCAGCTGCTCTTCTTACCAAATGCTTGTCCTACCTGTAGCCACTCCCTCTCTATCAGGGCTTCAAAGCCTCGGATGGTTCTGCTCCTAGGCTCCAAGATGATCTGGGCTAGTGAGGACACCTGAAGTGTGGAGTCCGTCCCTTCTGTTCCATGAACCAGTACCGATGCTCCTTCCCTGACAGGTAAACAGAGTACAAATGAGGCACCCTGACAGGGCAAGTACTCTGTTAATACTAACTTAGTATTTCATTCTTATGCACCATGCTCTGTGTTATAGGGTTCCTAGTCTAAATAAGGAATTGAATAGATGAGAAGTCCTCTTGGGAAGAAAGTAAGACTAGCATAAAGTCCCAAATGGCAATGGCAAGAATCCCATTAAATTATAATAAATTTTAGACTTTTCAGCTGAATCTTCTATCCCTACACAAAACTGAAAAGCAGTCCTTATCATAGAAGGCACTAACCTTTTCCTGCTTTAATGCTTAAAGCTGAGCAAAGCCTTTTCTCATCAAACCTATAAATATACATTAAGATTACTTCCTGACCTTGAATTCTACTTGACACCATTAGCTACCTATAGGGACACTTCCATAAACTGTAATAGATCTGGGAAACAAGTCCTACACACAATTTGAGATATGTAGAAATGGGGATAAAACAAAAACAGTTAACTGTCAATCTAGGTACTACTGTCCTACGAGTCTTATAAGGTATCTGAGATACCATTATTCTAAAAAAAAAAGAAAGAAAGAAAAGAAAGAAAGGAAACTAAAGCTACATTCCTCCTCTCCCACACTATTTTTTATTTTTTTGGTCAGTCATGGTGCTTGAACTCTGGGCATGGGTGCTGTCCCTCAGCTCTTCAGCTCAAGGTTAGTGCCCTACCACTTGAGCCACAGCGCCACTTCTGGTTTTCTGGTGGTTAATTGGAGATAAGAGTCTCATGGACTTTCCTGCCTGGACTGGCTCTGCACCATGATCCTGAGATCTCAGCTTCCTGAGTAACTAGGATTATAGGGATGAGCCACTGGTACCGGGCAAAGAATATTTTTAAAAATGATTTTTAGTACTTTTAAAATGGTGTCATAAGACCTGTATATGTACTTGGCTCACATTCATTCAATGAGAATTATCTATTAAATACCAAATACTATATACAGTAGTAACTGAATAGTTTTACCTCTTACATAGAAATTTATAAGATGATATGAATATTAGATATAGATCAGGAACAAATTTAATACTCTGTAAACATATATGTGGATAAAAACCAAGGGTTTATCAGTGCATGCCCAGTTCAGGGAGGCTGAAATGACATTACCTGTCAATACACTGAGCTGCTAGACAGGCAGTTGTCAGAATCTCCTTGATATGAGTTAGCCAGTTGGAAGCCTCCAACTTACTGAGCCATCGGTCCATGTTATGCGTTTGGTCATTACAAGCTTCCATCAGTTTGATTAAACTCTCTTGAAGAATGTGATATCTTTTAAAAATAAGAAAAAATAAAAAGGAGGGAAAAAAGATTTAATAGAATGATGAAAGACTACACCAAAAGTTCATCCTCCAATATATCCAACACAAAAAAAAGTAGCTCAAAATATTGTCATATGAGGATTTTGAAGACTTAAACATGAACAGATGAGACAGTGCACAGAGTTAGGCCATCTGATAGGAGAGGGCTGGGAAGGGCCATTTAGTGACTGGTCACATGACATTACCACTTGCATCTCCAATCTACTTCTATCCCCCACACTGCTCTAGCACTCATCCTGAGCCTAAAGCAGTTTCCCCAAACCAACACAGATTCTTTTTAGCTTTGAATCTCACCAACCCCCAAGGAGCACTGACAAAGCTTTCACTTAATGTCAAACAAGAGCCTTTATAGGTCATAATCATCTCAACAGATGCAGAAAAAGCATTCAACTTCCAGTCATGATAATAACTCTATAAACGGGCTGGGAAGGTGGCTTAGTGGTAGAGCGCTTGCCTTGCATGCATGAGGCCCTGGGTTCAATTCCTCAGTACCACATAAGCAGAAAAAGCTGGAAGTGACGCTGTGGCTCAAGTACAGCACTAGCCTTGAGCTGAAGAGCTGAGGGACAGCACCCAGGCCGAGAGTTCAAGCCCCACGACCGACCAAAAAAAAAAAAAACTAAACAGCTGGGCACCCTTGGCTCATGCCTGTAATCCTAGCTACTCAGGAGGCTGAGATCTGAGAATCGAGGTTCAAAGTCAGCCCAGGCAGGAAAGTCCATAAGACTCTTATCACCAATAAACCACTCAGTAAACTGGAAGTGGCACTGGGGCTCAAGTGGTAGAGTGCTCGCCTTGAGCTGAAGGACAGCGCCCAGGCCCAGAGTTCAAGCCCCACAACCTAAAACAAAACAAAACAAAACAAAAACTCTAAACAAATTAGGTATGAGAAGAATATTCATCAATACATTAAAGGCCAGAAACAGAAAACTGATGCTCACACCTTAATCCTTGCTACTCAGGAGGCTGAAATCTGAGGACTGTGGTTCAAAGTCAACCTAGGCAGGAAAGTGTGAGACTCTTATCCCCAATTAACTTCCAGAAAACTGTAAGTGGTGCTGTGTCTCAAAGTGGTAGAGCACTAGCCTTGAACAAAAGAGCTCAGGGATAGCATCCACACCCTGAATTCAAGCCCCACAACCTAAAAAATCCACAAACACATGCATGCACACGTGCACATGTGCATGCACACACACACACACACCATCTAATCTCACTCATCTCTAGACTCTATAAAAAGGCAAACTCATGGAAGCAAAGTAGAATGACAGTAACCAGGTATGGAGGGGAAGACACAGAGGAAGGAAGATGTTGGTCAACAGCTTGGGTCAGACAGGAGAAGTTCTGGAGATGTATTGTACAATATGCTAAGTACAGTTGGTCATACTTTATCGTATATGTGACAGCACCTCGGAATGCAGACCTTAAATGTTCTCATCACAGAAAAATAAACCTGAGGTGATAAACTAGATTGATCTAAACATTTCACAATGCATAACTATTAACAAAATAGCACAAAATACATACAGATTTTGTCAAACCTGAATCCCGCCAAACAAAACTCACAATATAATTGTCCAGTCAATTATGGGCTCTAAATTAGCAAGTAAATTCCACTTGAGTACTTGTAATTTCTGAGTAGCTCAGGGGTTAGCCACTCCAATTAGTGTGCAGTAGGAGTTGTCTCTGTCTCCACAATCTTTACCTTTCAATAGACTTATGAATCCGCCTCCACTGGGGATAATGAGCTTCTTGTTCAAAGCCGCCTCCTTTGGCTCTAGCTTGCTGTGCTACATGTAGAGATCGGGTGTCAATGACGTAGCCTCGCTTTCCTGCCCGGAGAGTAGCATTTATCAGCTTCTCATCCTCCTTACACCTTCTCCCACTGGTACCAGTAAGAGGCTGACCACATCTCATAATTACCTAGAAGCACAATAAGCTGAGAATTAGTAACAGTTGCTTATAAGATCTCTAAAACAGAGAGGAAGTAGCTTTCTTAGGAGTGTCTCACAGGGTTTGGAAATGTGACTTCACTGATAAAGAGTGCCAGCCAATGAGCAAAAGCGTCAGGTACCCTGAATTTGAATCTCAGTCTTGTACCCAAAAAAAAGCAAATCAAAAATGTCTCACAAACATTCTCGCATTGGAGGGATAGATTTCATGGAAAAATAAACAACTGAATGTATTGACAGTAGTTAATATGTGTAAAAATGATAAACTTTGTACTTTCACATCATTTTTCTTCCTACTACCTCAAAATATATTCACAATTAAATCACCTCTTTAAGACCAAATATTACAATTTAATGACTTGAACACCTATAAGACTTGGCCCTGTGATGAAGTAATTAAGTCATTAATGGCCCATTAGTCAATAAGCCTTGACTTTATAGAAAAGTGAAATATCCCACCCTAATAAACTGCTTACTTTTGGACCTATAGGTATGGCTCTCTTTCTACCTCCTTTCTCTCTCTCTGTTTACAATAGCAAATAGAAAATGCAAGCAGAAGCTTTTTAATCTGCTGTCCCTCTGCTCCCTTCTACCTACAAAAAAGGGAGACAACCACAGATGGCTGACTGATACCTGAGAGATTTCGTCTGTATAGTAACCCAACTACCTTTTGATAGCCTGAACATCACACTTCCCTAATGATCATGCTGCTTTCTGAGCCTTCACCCCTATACTTAGGCATATGATAAAATCTGTATGTTCTTTTTCCTCTTGTCTGTGTATTATCTTTTTTTTTTTTTTTTGGTAGACAACCATCAAACTTTCAGGGAAAGAATAACACTTCCCTACAACCACACACACACATACACACGCACGCACACGGCTGGCAGGTTTTGGCAAAAATTATAAAAGACAAATGGTACAACACAAAATAAAAATAAGTTTATGCACCATTCTTGTTTGGAGATCATTTTCAGTGTTTTGAAGGTTCCTTGTCTGTTATTTAGCCTCTAGAGGCCCTCAGACATCCTTTTTCAGTATTCCAGGAACTTCACCTTGATATTCTGTCAGATTTGTACTTACAAACCACTGCTAAGTGCAGTTATATCTGACAACCTGAAGCCAACGCTTTCAGCAAATCAAGCAACATCTAGGGACACTTACCATTCCATTTTTTTTATGATAATAGCTTAGTACTGGGAAACGCCCACCATGTCGAAATGTAGCCACCTTGCGAAGAGCATCATCATCAATAGACTTGGGCACTATGACAATTGGTGGGTAAGAAGGACAGACAGCAAACTCTTTATTGACATAGCTTAGCCTCCATTCACTAGTCTGAAAAACATAACACATGTCAAAGCTAAATAAGCATCTTATTTCACAATATTATCAGAACAAGTTTAAAGGACCTCAGAAATCAACTTCCACTGATGAAGAAGCCACTGCTCGGTAATCTAATAAAAGGCCAGCCTCCCTCACTGAAAGATATCACTGTTCCTAGAAAGTTCTTTCTTCTAGCAAGCGGAAACTCGTGGCCTGTAACTTCCTCTATCAGTTTTTACTATCATGCCAGAGAACACAGCATAAGTTCCCCATTTCGTATGACATCCCACCAAGGATTTAAAGACAATTCTTCCCCGTTAGTGTTCTCTTCTCCAGGTTAAGTATATTAAGTACATACAAGATGACTGAGGCCAACATAATTTCAAGAAATCTGTTATTTTCTGGGTACCACTAGTTTGTGAATGGTGCTCTTAAAATTAAAATCGCACCTACAGACTACAATACTCCAAATTATGCTTAGCAGGAATAGAACTTAAAATAGAGCTACATCCTGTGTTGCCTTTTGCTATTTAGAAAAGGAGGAAAATGTAATAAGAATGGCAGCATCTTTCTTAAAATAACAATGACTTAATGACTTAGGAATCAATAAAATGTTTTCTGATTCAATACTCTAAGGACTAGAAGCATACAATATAAAACAATCAAGTAATTTGTAAGGTTAGGATGTAGCTCATGATGAAGAGCTGGCCTGGTGTGTATAAGGCCCTGGTTTTGATCTCCAGCACTATAATAGTTACTATTATTTTTGTGTCAGTCCTGGGGCTTGAACTCAGAGCCTGGGACCATTTGAGCCACATTCCATGTCAGACTTTTTTAAATGGTTAATTGGGATAAGAGTCTCATGGATTTCCTGCCTACGCTGGCTTTACACTGTGATCCTCAGGTCTCAACCTCCTGAGTAGGTAGAAGAACAGGAATGAGCCACCAGCTCAAAATAAGTTTTTTTTAAAGAAAACTGCAAACCACTTGGAAGTTTGTAAAAGGCTTTTTACAGATAAGATTCAATATGTGGCATAAATTGTGATTGGACTACAAACAAGTATTAGTAAGAAGAGAAAGCTAAAACGTTAGATACAGTAGAACACAAATCAACTCATGCTCTTGCTCAGCTCTTTTGCTCACAGATAGTATTCTAACACTTGAGCTATGCCTACATTTATTGTTTCCCCCCCAGATCAGAGTCTCAAGGATTTGTTTTCTTGGGCTGGCTCTGAATTGAGATCCTCAGATTTCAGCCTCTTAAATGTCAGGATTACAGACATGAACTACTAGTGTCTGGATCTTTCAATTTGTGTTAATACATACATACATATATGTCATCCTGATGAATTCACTTTTTATTATGATAAAACCTTTTCATAATATTCTGTGTCTTAATGTCTCTTTTTTCCTACTCTGGAATTAACTCACTGTGGAGACCCTAGAGTCTCTGGGAGCTATAACTGAGTGCAGGAAGTAGTAGATGGTGGATGTGGAGAAAGCCTGATGCCAGCGGAAAATGGCAGGTTTGTGTTTGCCTTATCTTGTGTCTAAGTAAAGACACAAGATTCTGAGTTTGACATTACACAGAGATCCAGTCAAAAGACAGGATGAAAGCTTGTGTACTTACCTTATTGCCCCCTGATAATCTGTAACCAGACCCTTGGAATGTGCCCTTTGTTCTGTAACCAAAACTGCCCCAAACTAACATTTAATCTGACCCACTAAAGATATATCAGCATCAATGGTTCACATCTATAATCCTAGCTACTCAGGAGGCTGAGATCTGAGGACCATGGTTCAAAGCCAGCCCAGGCAGTAAAGTCCTTGAGACAACTTATCTCCAATTAACCACCAAAAAACCTGAAGTGGAGCTGTGGCTTAAGTGGTAGATCACCAGACTTGAGTGAAGCAGCTCAGGGGTAGCACCCAGGCCCTAAATTCAAGCCCCAGTATAAAGAATATTCTGCAGTTTAACTGGGTCTATCCACTGAACTCTTCCTTTCATGATAATATGAATATATGTTCTCAAACACTAGCATTATGAATAACATGCATGAGTAATCCTTTTTCTGCCACATGGTATCTTTTCTTTTTCTTTTCTTTTCTGTTTTTTGTTGGTCATGGAGCTTGAACTCTGGGCCTGAGTGCTGTCCCTGAGCTCTTCAGCTCAAGGCAAGTGCTCTACCACTTGAGCCACAGCACCAGTTTTCTGGAAGTTAATTGGTGATAAGAGTCTCACAGGCAGGAAGGTCGGACTGTCCTGCCTGGGCTGGCTTTGAACCGAGATCCTCAGGTCTCAGCCTCCTGAGTAGCTAGGATTACAGGTGTGAGCCACTGGTGCTCAGCAATGTCTTGTTTTTTTAAACAAGAATATGTGACAGAGGTAGAAAAGACATGTGCCACTAAATACATCTTATAGACTGAGATAGGAGCTTGCTTTAGTCTTCTCCTAGAAGAGGCATGCATTTTTTTGTTCTTTCTTTCATTGAATCTGCCTTTTAAGTGAACTGCTTAGGTGGATTTTAGTCCAGCAATTATTTTGTCTGTGCTGTTTTTCACTGATGTTGCTTCTATTCTTGCCTTCTTTTGGATTACTTTTTAAGATTTCATGTCATGTTAATATATGGATTAACCTTTTGCTTTTGTTGAGACAAGATCTCATTATATAATTTAGGCTCACCTTAAACTCACTGTGTTGCCCAGGCTGGTCTTGAACTCTCAATTCTACCACTCTTCCTCCTTAGTGCTGGGTTTACAGGCTTGTACCACCATACCCAGTGGCAGCATTAACTTAACTGTACCTCTTGGGACTTAAGTGATTGCTTCAAGACCATGGTTCTCCAACAGGTGCCACAGGGAAACATTTCTGAGTTATCTGGGGACAGTAATTAACTCACAAGAGGCTAGGACTATCTTTAAGTAAATTTTAAAGTTTCATCCACATCATTTTATTTTTTGTTTTGTTTTGTTTTTTTGGTTGTGGGGCTTGAACTCTGGGACTGGGCGCTGTCCCTGTGCTCTTCAGCTCAAGGCAAGTACTCTACCGCTTGAGCCACAGTGCCACTTCCAGTTTTCTAGTAGTTTACTGGAAATAAGAGTCTCACGGACTTTCCTGCCCAGGCTGGTTTGAACCATGATCCTCAGATCTCAACCTCCTGAGTAGCTAGGATGACAGGCATGAGCCAACAGCGCCCAGCCATCCACATCATTTTGAAGTAATATCTGGGATACATTAAGCCCACTAGGAGAAAAAGCATTTCAGCTACAGCTCTGAAAAAAAAACCCACAAGTCTCTGAATGACAGAAGCTACAGCACATATAACTCTTTTATACATACAGAGGTCAACTTTGCAGTCACATTCACAACTAGGGTTGTTTTTCAACATAATAATTCTTAAACAGTAACTCACAGCTGAAGAGTAGAGTTCGAACTCTTGCTCAGGAAGGAAGGAATGCCAACCATCTTCTATCACTTCAAACATGGGCCGGTAGAAGAAGGGGTACATCAGAGTGACTGAGTCCAGGGTAGACAATGCCTAAGGGGCAGAAAGAAAATAGGAACAACATGACACCCATATAAGCCTAATGACAATGGTACCTAGGGTCATTCTCTAATATTGTAGCTATCACTAGATATAATTACAGTCCTGCAGAAGCAAACAAACCACTGACATATAATCATTATTCAGCAACTGCCACCTGAATGAAAAAAAAAAATCGAACAAAAAATGTATGCCTATTCTAGAAGAAAAATGAAATAATTCCTCGACACAATTTAATAAACCAACAAAATATTAGCTACAGATCTGTCAAGGTTTTCTTCCTCCTTTTAATAGACAAACTCATAACATTCTGTGGACACAAAGCCTAAATGAGTCAGTCTCATAAAGACAGAGGAAAAAAAGGCCAATGACTATCTAGATGTTACTGTAAACATGAAGTCAATAATGATTTAAATAAAGTAATTTAAAATTTGAGTGCATAATAAAAATGTTGGTTAGGATGAGGAATACATCAGAGTGAGCCTTTAATTAAAATCTTAAACTACCAAGTAAAATTTCTATTTATGATCTGAACCAATATTCAATATTGTTTAAATATAAAGCAAATATTTTGACATATGTAAACTGATGAAAATAAATGTGGAAACTGAGACTTACTAAAAACAAACAAAAGACTACAAACACTGATAGCAACTTGCTTTATCATGGAGATTTGTCACACAACAATGGGAGTAGTCTCTACACAAAACAACAGCCCTAAGAGCTAGATGATATTATTTTCATTGTCAAAGGTTTAAGTACTTCACTCAAGATTGAAAAATTAAGATGCAAACTATGCTATTACAATGAAAAGATCAATATTAAGATTTCTGTCCAAATGTCTGTGGAGTTACAGCAAACTATACTATTACAATAATCAGATCAATATTAAGATTTCTGTCCAAATGTCCGTGGAGTTGCAATCTATTACAAGGGACATGCCAGTACATTCAAGACAAAACAATTCTGTGTGTAGTTGCTAACAAACTCTCACTAGTGGTTTTCCTAATTCAGAGGGCAGGTAAGTCAATGGGGCTTTTACAGCACCACCTGTCTCACTCAAATTGCACCCTACATCATGTCCAAAACAGCTGTAACTGTTCTTACTGGTTTAATATCCACAAAAGCTGGGATGTAGGAGGTTGCAGAGTGCTTCCCTAACACACAGCCCTGGGCTCCACAGCAAGCACCAGCAATTCCTCTTCTTTTTAAATTTCATATAATATGATTTATTCCCATTGAGGAAGAAAAAAAAAACTACCTTTAACAGAAGAAAAGTATCAAGACTTGCATAGTGAACATGAAACATCAGGCAAAACTTTAAGTTTGTCCTAAGAACCTCTCAAAACTAAGATATCCAATGATTTTTCCAAACTGTTCTACTCAAGTAAAACAGTTACTATATTTGACCCACATGACCTCATGGGAATGCTATGGAAGTAACTGGAATGCACTTCCATAGACTTTTAAACAGGTTAATGGAATTACGGTTCTTTAAGCTGAGCAACACCAGCACTGCCGTAAGTAAAAGAAGTCCCATTACTCCAGTATAACAGTAAATCAGGGTGAGGCTTTCCCCATCAGCTTCCATATCCACAAACAAATTTAATATATCAAGAAAGGATGTAAGAGCTGCTCAGTCAGAATACAGCTTTTATCATACACTTTTGCCTACAAAATACTTACCTCAATGGAACTGGCTATATTTAAACATTCCTCCATTCCAGGAATATCCAACTGAATAATTCGAAAATCTTTACATTTTATGATGATGGTCCCCAGAGATCCCACAAATCTGAAAGGAATTATAAATTAGGCTAAGAATACAGAAATTCTTAATTTTAAATATGATTATTTCTTTGAAAAAATATAGTTGAAATCACCATCAACATTCAATTTTCTTCTCAATTAGTCTAATTAAAATTAAGCTCACATTATTTAAATATTAGCCAAAAAGTACTTAAAATATATGTATCTAATTCTTTTTCAAATAAAGTAATTCAAATGTGGCTAATTCATTTAACAAAGACTATGTGTACTTCCTCCAAAGAACAGGAAAAGCTCTGTAAGTAAGGTGTTAAACAGATATTTCTCAAACAGGACTGCACAGAGCTTGAGTTTGCAGCAGACCTTTAAAAATAAAAACCTCTTTTCATTATTTGAAAACTACTAACTTGGAATATCTATGTTAGACTAAAGAAAGCTTGAGAGTCAATGTCATGTTTAGTCATAATTCTGTATTAGTCTTTCAGTCAAGTTTACTTTACCTTAGTGGAGATTCCTATGTTCTTTCATGGTCATACAGTTTGTCTATGCTTACCAAGAGCGGGCTTTTCTCTTGTGCACTCACTGCCCCCAATTCTCTTCCATTCTGAGTTCCCCTAAACTGGGAAGTTCTAGATCGATCAAAAGCTGGTAACTTTATTTCCATTTTACCCAATTTAGTAACACAGAACCTACAGTTATTCTCCCCAAGTTCACCTTGGAACTTGAGAGTTGGTTGGACTCACATCACTTCCCGTGAACTTTCACAGGCAGATATTGCAATGAGCATGGAACCAATCTTAGTAAAGAAAATTTCCACAGGGCATCCACAAGCCATTAGTACAATGGGATGCCTTTTACTAAAATGCATTTTCAAAAGTCAAACACTTGGCACTTCTGCTTCTATTAAAAGCAAGATAACAGAGACTCAAAGAACCATAATTACTACACACATAGAAAAAGGAATGACTGTTTTCTAGCCGCAACACAGCAAGAAACAAAAAGAAAGATGCATGAGTACCAAGGTGAGTCCTCAAATTGCTTGGCTTATGGTTTTGAAAGTTTCCAAGCAGGGACAGAAAACCTGAATGGAGCAAGAGTCTGCAAAGACCAAATGGACTAAAGCTTAGTACTAGTACTCTCACTACAAGAGTACTAGAGAGTACAGAGAACATTACAGAGATATGCTGAGGGTAGACCTCAGGTATCTAGCATAGTACTAACCAGCACATGAATGAGAATAAAGTAACCTAAGGCTGATGCTATGGAAGTTCACAATGGAAGCTTAATCCTCAAAACAGCACTAAGAGGCCAAAGTTAACAATGAGTATGTCCTGAGATCCCATGTGCTCCATCTCTCTGATGTTCTTTTGTCCTTACAAAAGGATAATGCAGCAGAAGGCCTTGCTACTAGAATTCCTGGCCTTCAGAAGTCGAAAAAATAACTTTCTTCTCTTTATAAAGTACCCAGTCTGCAATATTCTGTTACATAGCAACACAAATGGATAGAGGTATCTGGGAAAGAGCCAGTTCAGAGGATTAGAGAAAGCAACATATCCTAGGAGTGAAGGGTTAAAGTACTCGAAGCAGTGACCATTTGTTGCTTGTTTCAGCTAGCAGAGCAACACGTGGTGGTAATCCAAACACCTGGTTGTGAGCCTTTATAAGCCCTGCAAATCCTTAGTTCGGGGCTCTCCTCCTAGGCTCCGCTGTGTCTCGTCTAAATAAAACCTTAAAACAGCTGTAAAGTTTGATTCTCGGTGGTCTTCTTGGTGGGGGTCCTGCGATCTGGGCACAACATATTAGTGGGGGCTTGTCCGGGATTCCCCCCAAAGGCCCCCAAGACCTCAGACTCCAAAGGTAAAACAGCGCTGTCTTTGTTAATTTGTCTTGTCCTGTTGTTGTCTGTTTGTACTTTTGTTTTCCTTTGTGAGGAAGGCTGCTCCAATTCATATTGTGTAAAGGGTTGTCGAAGCAGACGCTTGCACGACAACCTTGGAGGAACTGGGAGACATCCCAGATCCTCTTGTGGGGGGGAGGGGGTCCTTGGAACCCCACCGTGTGAATTGTGGGGCGTGGGTTGGTTTGGTATTGGGCCAGAACTGACCAAGAGGGCCTCCTAAATAACCAAGGCCCAACTTGCCCACTGTGGGTCCGCTCCTTCTGCTGTGGGGCGTGGGTCGGTGTGGAACCCCACTGTGACAGGAGCCAGTGGACCAATTTGGGAGATCTCCATTTTGTAACTGTCAAGCCTGCGTGTATTTTGTTTGTACTGTTTACTGTTTTTTTGGACTGTACGACTGACTGGACTGGAAACCATGGGCAACACTCTAGCCCCCTAGACTTACAAAAAGAAACTAAAAAAGAGGAAAAGAAATTGTACCCCCCAGTTTTTCAGGGAGATAACTTGGAAGAAATGTTTCCTCCCCCATACTCCCCTTCCCAGGTTCCTTTGGCAGAACCTGAGAATGATCAAGAGGAGGAAGGAGCTATAGAACCAGCAGCCGAACCCTCGGCACCTGCCCTTAAAGTTTCTGAGGGGCCAGTCACTCGACAATGCCATGGGATCAAGATCAACCCCTCTTCTCCTGCAGCTGGTTTCCCCTTACACGCCATAGGTCCTGTGGATGCGGATGGTCAACAGCAACTCCAATATTGGCCATTTTCTACCAGTGATCTATACAATTGGTGCACCCAAAATGCCCCCTTTTCTGAGAAACCCCAGGATTTGCTTGCTTGAAACTATTCTCTTTACTCATCGGATGATTACACTCAACTTTTCCATGTCCTTTTTACCACCGAAGAGAGAGTCCGTATTTGAGAGGCGGCCCGGAAACATATCCCTGGCCCCACAGGAGCGCCCATCACGGATCCTGCCCCGATCGCTGCCTATTTTCCTGAGATCTGACCAACATGGGACTACAATATGGTTAAAGGTAGGGAGCGACTCCTCGTCTACTGCCAGGCTCTGTTGGCAGGTCTCAAGGTGGCAGCTCGCCGACCTACTAATATGGCCGAAGTTTATGATGTTAGACAGGGAGGAAATGAAAGTCCAGCAGCATATCTTGAGTGGCTCATGGATGAGACCCAGGAGTCAGTTCAGATTATTATGTTTGCCTATACAAATCAAGCTGCACCAGACATAAAGCAAAAGTTGCAGGCTCTAGACAGACTTGGTGAAAAGTCTATTAGGGATCTAGTAGCCGCGGCGAAAAAGGTTTACAATAAGAGAGAGACAGAGGAGAAAAGACAAGAAAGGAAGGACAGAGAACATGAAATTGAGTGTGAAAAGAAAGACCGGGCCAAGGAAAAGAGGCCAGACTTCTTGGACTCGCCACTATCGCATGCCAAGCATACCTGGTTCACAGACGGCAGCAGTTTCATTTGAGATGGAAAAAGGTACGCGGGCGCAGCAGTCACCACAGACACCGAGATAGTGTGGGCAGACGCACTTCCCCCAGGGAACGTCTGTACAAAGAGCAGAACTAGTGGCACTAACAAAAGCCCTACAAATGGGAAAAGGGAAGAGACTAAACATTTACACGGACAGTTGGTATGCTTTTGCCACTGTGCATGTCCATGGAACCATTTACCAAAAGAGGGGGCTGCTGACAGCTGAGGGAAAGAATATTAAAAACAAACAAGAAATTTTAAGCCTCATCCAGGCCTTATGGGAACCAGCAAATATTGCCATTATGCACTGCCGTGGCCATCAAAAGGGAACTGATTCTATAACCAAAAGAAATAACTTGGCCGATCAGGCAGCTAAGGAGGCCCTCCAGCCCAGAGCTCGGCTTCAGACCCATCTTACAAAGCCAACTGGTCCCAGACTGACAGTGAAGACCATTAATAAGAAAATATCCATTGCTCATCAAAAGACAACTTGCAACATCTGGCATACAATAATACCAAATGTTGATAAAAATGTGAAGAACAGGGCTCCTGACCCCCATACCTGGCAGGAAAGCAACAGGGACAGACATTGAATGCTGTACGACTGTGGCATGAGTTCCAAGTAAGATCTATACTCTCTGGTCAATTCTGTCTTAGGCACAATCCCACAGAAATTTATGCAAGACTACATATGACTTGAGTGCACCTATTTTTCAGAGTTGTTTATGACAGCAAGGATTTAGAGGTTATGTAACAAGGTTTACCAAGTAAAATGTTTTACCTACTTTGAAATTCTATGCTACAGTGAAAAGCAGTGATATGAATATACTTACTCCTATCACTCTAGGAAGAGATCCTGAGAAAAGGTATCGTGTTAGAAGCTGAAGACACAGAACAGGGGCTGCAGAGTGTGGCTCAAGAAGTTCAACATTGGCCTATCAATATCAAGTACAAGGTCCTGAATTCAAATTTGGGTACCTCCAAAACAACATCTACAACATTCTCTCAATCAAATCAAGTAAATGAAGCTCACATGCATGTGTGCACACCAACATATAGCAGTGCCATCTAGTTTACAATGACACTTAACATAGCTGCCCAAAGGAACTGTGGATGAAGTAGGAAATGAGAGTGGAAAACAGGGAGGTAGAAGAATTAAAAATCAGAGGAAGGTTGGAAATGTGCTCAGTGATAAAGAGTGCTTATCTGGCATGCTCGAGGCCCCAGTTCAATCCCCGACACCACCAAGAAAACAAAAATCAGAGAACCTTTTATGGAATTAATCATGAAAATGATGAGTCATCAGGTGAATAAGATTATCATCAGGTGAATAAGATTATCTCAATTTTCCGCCTCAGAGAAACATGAAAAGGTCAATATGACTGGAAGATTTGTTTATGACTGTGCTAAGATCAAATAAAACAAAAATAAACCAAATACGCAATATATATGAAGTTACTCTATAGACTTACGAAAAAGTACTCAAATATCAGTTCTCCTTCTATTAGAGGGGTTACTTATTCCTAAGTGACAACCTGAGGTTCAAAGAGAAGCAGCGGCTTGCCCAGGACATTGATCTACTAAAAGGTAACAAGGCCAGTGCCACTCTCAGACACTGTGTGACTGTCACTGCAGCTCCACTTCATCAGCCAGGCAAGCAGCTCCAGCTTTAAGTCACATCCCACATCTGTTCAACGGCCTCACCACCACATTCTAAATCACACCACCATTTACCTGGGTTACCCAGCAGTCTCTTAGCTGAACCTGATGCAGCAGCTTTGCTCCTCTACAACTCATTTCCTGCCAGCAGCCAAAATCATATACAAAACCTACTACACCTCCTTGCTTTCAACTCTCCCTAGGGTCCCTGGAAAACCATCTCAAGAGCCTTCAGATGCCCCTCCGGCTCATCTTCCAGCCACACCTGTGCTGTGTTCCCAGGTCCGGACTGTTCATCATGCTCCACCCACAGGCTTCTCTGCTCCCCATTATACAAGCCAAGGCATAGCATGTTTCCAACTCACATCTTCACATACATTGTCACACGCCACGCCTCAGGAAGTTTCCCCCCCAGATATTCACCTAGATCACTTCTTCTCTCCTTCAGGTCTCAGCTCCAAGGTCATCTGCATTCTCTGAAATCATTTCCAAAGACACAGCCACTCTAATTTCTATCTTTTTCTTCCTGCCACTACCAAACATTGCTTTGTATTTCTCTGTTGATTAATCCTACAGTTCACTCCTCTGCTATTTCTAAAGCTCTTATCTGCCTCAGTCACTATAGCACTGCAGGGCCCAAACAATACCCTGAGAAAAGACAGACAAGCAAATTGACGTGCCCACACTTCCGCTCTCTCCACCATGCCATGCTGCTTCCCAGGGAGAGGAGTGCCGTGGCCACTCCCCTCGTGTCGTGTCTCCTGTAACAGAGCAGAAGACCCATGCCTCATATGCTTCCTTCTTTATGTTCTAACGATGCCCAGGACCCTAGTACATGCTAAGTAAATATGGAAAATGAACAACCACAAGATGAGGTCAAAGAGAAATTAGGCAGAGCCAAGCACTGGTGGCTCATGGCTTAAAAACCTAGCTGCTCAGCAATCTGAGATCTAAGGATTGTGGTTCCAATAGTCCATAAGACTATCTCCAATTAACCAGCAAAAAGCCAGAAATGGAGCTGTGGCTCAAGTGATACTAGGGGAGGCCTTGAGCAGAAAAAGGCACATGGAAGTAAAATGCCAAGTTCAAGCCCTAGTACTGGCAACCAGGAAGAAAACTGGATGATCACAGGAGACCACTAATATATGCTCCTTGGCACCACCTTCCCTTCAGTGGTCAATCTTTCTGTTCTCCCATATGTCTGTCTGTCCATATCTGAGCCTCAGCTGGACATTTTAAAGGTGACTCCTGGCTTTAAAAGGTAAATATAGGGGCTGGGAAGGTGGCTCAGTGGTAGAGTGCTTGCCTTGAATGCATGAGGTCCTGGGTTCGATTCCTTAGCACCACATAAGCAGGAAAAAAAAGCCAGAAGTGGCGTTCTGGCTCATGTGGTAGAGTGCTAGCCTTGAGGTGAAGAGCTGAGGGACACCGCCCAGGACCAGAGTTCAGGCCCCACGACTAGACCCCAAAAAAAAAACAAAAAGAAAAAAGGTAAATATACATATGTATAATAACAAAATAAAATCTGAATATACACTTAGTGAAAAGACTGATCATTAAACAGCTACAGAATTTCAAGGCAAGGAGAATTACTTCCAGCTGCAATTCACAGATGAGGCTGTGAAGGAGGAAGTAGTGAAGCAGAATACTTATATAGGGAATAGTAATGGCAGCCAAATGTCTGGAACATAAAAGCTAAGTGAGTATCAACTTGGAAGGAGCTAGTCATCCTTGCTGAAGGAAGAGCTTAGTTTATTGGTTCATGAGAATCAATAGGCTTGGGTCAATAAAGGAAATATGAAAGACCTATGCATAGAATGGCAGGACAGTAGGTTAGGGCAGGTTATGGTATGTCAGCAACAATAGGCTACAGAGTTTGCTTTACCATGCAGGCCATGAGAGACCACTGAAGAATTACACAAGAAAGGGATGATTCAGGAGTATACTAAGCCCTCTGCCTGAGTAAATAAATCTAGCACGGCCTCACACAACAGCCAGAAATTCTACCAGTATAGATTATTTTAAGGCATATCTTTTGTAGAAATCTTCTTAATATTCAAATTTTCCTGAGAATAGAATAGAAAAGGTGTGGTTTGTGTAAACTGAAGTGGCTGAGTAGACCACTGCTTTCTCCAAAGGGAAATGGGAAACCTAAGTGCAGATGGAAGAAAAACTTTTTGAATGGGACTCTGCTTTGCAAAGATAGGAAGTACAGGGAGGGGGAGATAAGAAAAGGGGTCTGGGAAAGTGGCTCAGTGGTATAGAGTGCATGCATGAAGCCCTGGGTGGTTTGATTTCTCAGCACCACATAAGCAGAAAAAGCTGGAAATGGTGCTGTGGCTCAAGTGATAGAGCGCTAGCCCTGAGCTCTTCACCTGGGACAGTGCCCAGGCCCAGAGTTCAGGCCCCACAACCCCACAAAAAAGAAAATGAAAAGGGAGAGAGATTAGCTCATACGTTTTCTTGATGGCCAACACTGTTTTTTCCAGAAGCATAATGAGATTATAAAATTCCTTTGTTGGGATTTATTAGAATAATGACCCAGAAGGCAAGAAATAAGGAGAAATATGACAAGCTGAATTTTGTTTGTTTATTGAGACTGTGTTTCTGTATAGCACAGGGCTGGCCTGACATTCATCCTCCTTTTGCCTCAGGGTTGGGTTTACAGGCACACCTGATTCTAATCTCTCTCTTTTTTTTTTTTTTGAGGTGAAAACAAAATGCTTTTGAATGAAGTAGTAAACAGACTGGAGTTGTAACTCAAGAGGTACAGTGCCAGCCGTGAGAGGGAAAGCTAAGAGCTGAAGGCACTGAGCTCAAGCCCCACTACTGGCACACATTCAGTGAGTGGCAAAGACTTTAACAGGCATAACCGTAATCCCAGACTTGGGAGGCTGAGGCTGGAGGATTGTTGAGGCCAACCTGAGCTAACAGCAGGTTCCAGGCCAGCCATAAAGTCTTAAAACAAAAACAAAAACAACAATAAGTAAACAAAATTTATCTAAATTGTACCCAATCACAACTTAATTAACTGCGACTGGCAATAACGACGCACGAAATAGAATGGCTCAAGGAGAATTTTTACGAGACAAAATCCGCCCCAACGGTATCAAGGCAATCACACGGTCTGAAGCTCGCCCATCGTGAGCACTTACCCAGGTCTGGCAGCAATCAGGGATCCCGTCCGGACGGCTTTCTAAAGTCTCAGCCAAGGGCGGCCCCCCGGGCTGGCACGGAGCCCCGGGAGCCCGGGCCGCGTCCCTGCCCCCCCCCGCCCGGCGCCCCGCGGGCTCTCACCGCTTGTCGATGGCGTCGATGTTGGAGTGGAGGAGCCACAGCTCCTCCGTGCTGTCCTGCCGCGAGGACAGGATCAGGTGGTGGCCCGTCAGACACAGCGTCCCCTCCACGGCCGGATAGAAAGGCCGGTGCAGCACCACGTTGTCCACCCGAGGGGTCTTGATCAGCTCGGCGAACTCCATGGCCCCGCGGCGGCCGAGCCCGGCGCTGCGAGGCGGTTACCCGCGCGGGCGGGCCCGGGAGGCCGCGCCGGAGGCCCGGGCCGAGCCCCGCCAGACCCCGGGGGCCCGGGTGCCAGGCGGTTACCCCGCCCGCCGCAAGGCTGAGGCGGACGCCGGGTGTGGGCCCGGCCGGCGGGGCGGAGGCCCGGCCTGGCCGGAAGTCTCTGCCGCACCTCCCTCGTCGCCGGGCCGGAGCCTCGGCCTCAGAGTGCGTCCCGCGACAGGCCCGGTCGGCGCCGCCGCCAGCGGCCTCGGGTGGGGAAGCTGCGGGCGGTAGGAATCGGCCGCTCCGCGGCTGGCTCGCCCAAGCCCGAGCCGCCCGAACTCCTGGCGGAAGTGGCTGCTCGCAGCCCTGGCCGGCGGCAACTGCGGGCGGAAGCAGCGCGGCTCACACCTCGGAAGAAGTAGCGGTCGTTACCGGAAGTCTGTCCCCGCCTCGGTCCGGTAGAAATGCCTCCGGAGAAACAGTCCAGAGCCGAAGATAAAGGTTCCTACACGTTCCGACCTCGCCTTCTCCCTGCACCCCGAGCGCGGCATTCACTCCGCCGAGTCCCACAGGCCCCGGCCGGTGGACGCGCAGGCCCCGCGCCGCCGCCCTCCACTCGCGTACTGTCCCTCGCGGGCCGAGAGTTGCGGCGACTCCACCTTGCAGGGGAGGAGAGGTCAAGTGTGGGATCGAGGGACGCAATGGAGAATTTACTTCCCACTTGAAGAACTAGGGAAAGCGTCACGGACAAAGCACCCAGTTGAAAGATGGTTAAGGCTTATGCTTTGGACGTAGGAAGACCCAGACCAGAGGTGGGAAAAAAGTTCTCCTCTAACTCCATGACCACCTTCGTATTCCAGTTTTCTTGAAAATAGCCTGCGAGAGCCGGGCGCCGAGGCTCGCGCCTGCCATCCCAGCACTCAGGAGGCTGAGATCTGAAGATCGCAGTTCAAAGCCAGCCTGGCAGGAAAGTCCGTGAGACTCTTATCTCCAGTAGACCACCAGAAAACCGGAAGTGGCGCTGTGGCTCAAGCAGTAGACTGCTCGCCTTGAGCTGAAGAGCTGAGGGACAGCGCCCAGGCCCAGAGTTCAAGCCCCACCACCGACCAAAACAAACAAAAATAGCCTATGAGAAACCCATGAAGGCTTAGCTCAAGTGAGAGAACACATTTCTAGAAAGCTCAAAGGCTGTGAGTTCAAACCCCGGTACCGTTATTTTAAAAATGGCGAAAAATGTTTAATATACTATAAAGCTGTAAACTGTGCAGTAGAGAGAAAATTGTTGATATCTGCTGGATTATTTATTTATTTATCTTGTCAGTCGTGGGGCTTGAACTCTGGGCCTGGGCGCTGTCCCTCAGCTCTTCAGCTCAAGGCGAGCGCTCTACCACTTGAGCTACAGCGCCACTTCCGGCTTTCTGGTGGTTTATTGGAGATAGGAGTCTCACGGTCTCTCCTGCCCGGGCTGGCTTTGAACCGCGATCCTCAGATCTCAGCCTCCTGAGTAGCTAGGATTACAGGCGTGAGCCACCAGCGCCCGGCTATCTGCTGGATTATTAAAATAAAAAATTGCCAGTATCTGCTACTGTATTAGAATGAAACAACAGAAAAACTGTTAGAAAAGTCCATATATAGTGAGTTGAAGCTCAAAGCAGCGAAAGCCCTTGAGAGCTGAGGAAAACAAAAATTTAATAGTTAATAATAGAGCATGGGCCAGGCCCTGATAGTTCACGCCTGTAATCCTAGCTATTTAGGAGGCTGAGATCTGAGGATCAGGGTTCAGTGCCAGCCAAGGCAGGAAAGTCCATGAAATTCTTACCTTTAATTAACCTCCAAGAAACAATAAGTGGAGCTGTGGCTCAAGTGGTAGAGCACTAGCTTTGAGCAAAAAGATTAGGTCCAGGGCTAGGCCATGAATTCAGTCCAGGACCAAGCAATAGTAGCAGTAGTAGTAGTAGTAATAAAATAATAATAATAATAATAATAAAGCATAGCAGGAGCATTGGAATGTACTTCCTTACATAAACAGTAGGTGGCGGTGGCATTCAGCAATGATGGGATAGGCTTCCTTCTATTGAAATAATGCAATGGAATTAGTCAAGCATTATTGTCCAAACTTTCTGAATATAAACATCTCAGAGAATTCTGATAATCCAAAAAAGATTATGGAATTTTTTTATTGGCTGTGGGGTTTGAATTCATCCTCTAGGTACTGTCCCTAAGCTCTTTGTGTTCAAGGCGAATGCTCTACCACTTTGAGCCACAGCACCACTTCCAGCTTTGGACTGGTTAACTGGAGATAAGAATCTCTGCACTGGCTGTCTTCGAACTGTGATCTTCAGATCTCTGCCTCCTGAGTAGCTGGATTACCGATGTGAGAGCCATGGCACCCAGCTAGACAATGATAGTTATAACACACTCAAACAATTTGTTCAGGGCCTTGAAGTTGTTGTTATCACCATACTATGAAATAAAATGGTGTTTGTGTATAGTCACCCAGATGTTGCTCTGTCAGGCCTGCTTGGTCATCAGGACTGTCGGAATGGAAACAACAGACTTGACAGTAACATCCTTATCAAGATGTAGCTTATTGGGGAAGACTAACACATTTGAAAGAGCTAGTGAAAAGTGTCAAATTTTGAAGTACAAATTTACTTTCCTGATTTAGTGATTCCTTGCTAGGCCTTCAGCAGTTCATAGCAGTTGGAAGGTAATTTGAAGAAAGCTGGTTGATAATTTTCTAAAGTAACCTGCATGTAAGATGGAAAGGGCACTGTTTGGATGAGCCATTAATGAACAGCTGTCCAGAGCTGTGTTGTGTATTGGTGTGGGCAGTATACTGATAATATCACATCACTTCTTTTTTTTATTGTGAAAATACTATACAGAGGGGTTACAATTACATGGGCAAGATAATGAGTACATTTCTTATCAAGCATTGTGCCTCCTCCTTTGTTTCCCCTTCCCATCCCTTCCCATCCTCCCCCCTCATCCTCCTCCCCTCCCACCAAAGTTGTAAAGTTCACTTTCCACATGACTTGCACATCTCGTTGTTGCAATGGGTCCACCTGTATCCCTATTTAAACGATTTGTTTTTTCCCTTCCTCTCCACAAATTATACCAACCTCAAATACAGTGAAAGCAGGGGTTATACCATGGGGAAGGGACATACAAAGCAACAAAGAAATCATCTTATAAATGTGGTAGACACATCACTTCTTTCTTGTGTCATTTTTCCCTGTTGCCTCCCAAGCAAACAAATCACCAAGTTGTACTACCTCATTTCAGACCACCACTAGTTTAACATTTCCTTAACAAGAGGTTTTTTTAAAAAATTAGTTTTCGTTGTTCTGGCAGGGCTTCCCTTCAACCTTTTATTTCCTCCTCCTCCTCCTCCTCCTTCCCCCCCTCCTCCTCCTTCTCCTTCCCCCCCTCCTCCCTCCTCCTCCTCCTCCTCTTCCTCCTCCTCCCCTCCCCTCTTCCTTCTCCTTCCCCCCTCCTCCCTCCTCCTCCTTCCCCCCTCCTCCCTCCTCCTCCTCCTCCTCCCCCCCCTCCTCCTCCTCCTTCTCCCCCTCCTCCTCCTTCCCCCCCTCCTCCCTCCTCCTCCTCCTCCCTTTCATCACCTTTCTCCCCCCCTCCTCCCACCTTCTCTCCTTAACCCAGGGCTCTTGTGACAATTGTTTAATCAGTTGCCAGAATCTCAGATCTCATCTCTCTGGCTCCCTCCTTCTCTGGCAGTTCCCCACAATGTTCATGCTCCTCATATAATAACTTGTACTTTGCTCGTGACATTTTTGCACCAGCTAGAACCTTACTACTTAGTGGAAGTCTGGACAAAGACCTGTATCTTTGGCATCTCTGGGAACTTTGTTAGCAGTTCCATAGTTAACAAGTCAGAATATGTAATTTAACAAGATCCCAAGATGATCTGTATGTTCATGTGCATTAAAGCAATGCTGTTAAACATTTCCGGTACTCTTCCTTCCTGGCACATATTCATCTCACTCTCAATATCTTGCCCCTTGACCCATTCATTGATATCCCTCAACTCTCAGGTATCACAGACCCTGGGAAGCCCTCCCTAGTTTCTCATGTGGCTATGGGTACCACATTATGTAGACTCCACAGCACCATGTCCTAGCAGTAGCTCACATTATTGACTGTCCCTGTGTTCCAGATATCATGCTGAATGTTTTACATATATTGTCACATGCCATCTTCCTATAGTGCTCTGAGGCTGGACTTAAGAGTTTATGAGCCCCACCCCCACCCCCCACACACATATTTGTGCCCAACTGCCCTCCAGCACCTCAGAATGTGAATGTATTTGGAGCCAAGTTCTTCAAACAGGCAGCTAAGTTAAAAGAGGTCATTAGAGCAGGTCAATGTCCTTAAAAAAAAAAAGAAACTTACAGTGGGAAGACTGTGGAGACAGGGGAAAGGTGGTCATCTATAAGCAGTCTCAGAAGAAGCTAACTGCCACTGTCTGATCTTGGACTTCTGGCTTCTAAAACTGACAAAGTAAATGTCTGTTGTTTAAACCACCCAGTTTGACATGTTTTACTATATAGTAGCCCTAGCAAACTATACTAATTGGTTATTACTCTCCTTTTGCCAGGGAAGAAACGGGTGTGCAGAACTTACTCATTTTCCAAGGTTGTATAGCCACAAGTGGCCCAGACCCTGCTCCAAGCTGTCAGGTGCAGACTTGAGGGTCTTTGCCTCTATGTTCCATTGCCATGGGGTGAGACTTCCCACTGTACTCCTCTCTCACCTATTTTACCACTTAATAAACTGCACTGGGGACATTCTGTGTCCACAAACGTCCACCAGGAAGAAATCTCCTAATGGTAGTGTGTATGCAGCTCTGAACGTAGGGCCTCTACCTAGAGCCACTCAAAATACATTCATTTCTGGGTGCTGATAGCTAACACCTGTAATCCTAGCTACTCAGAAGGCTGAGATCTGAGAATTAGGATTCAAAGCCATCCTGAGCAGGAAAGTCTGT